TCTCTCTCTCTCTCTCTCTCTCTCTCTCTCTCTCTCTCTCTTAGTATGCAGATACTGAGAAGTTAGGTGGCGCGAGGGTGAGGGAGAGATGGTGGACTTAGAAGAGGAAGAAGAAGAACTCTCTCTCTCTCTCTCAGTCCGGTACTAACCTGCGAAGGTGGCGCCTTGTTGCAGGTACATCGAAAGACGAAGCTGGAGCTATGGCGCCACAGGTAAGTCTCCCTGGCCTCCGCCAACCATCTCTCTCTCTCTCCAACGCTACTCTAGCTCCTAATAGCGCCCAGCGCTGAAGACTACTGCTAACACTACTACTACTACTGCAGCGCTCCTCCAGAGTGCTGCTGCCAAATCCTGAAGACTGCCTCCTGCCTCCTGCACGTGAAGTGCCTGGGAAGTCCCTATGAACTACCTGCAGCCTGCAGGGCGGGCCAGTCTTCTGTAGTGCTGGCCCGTCCAGGAGGCTGCTCTTGCCAATGCCAAAACATGCCAGACCCTGGCGTTGAAATTCAAACAAAGGTTGTCTTGAAAACAGGCCCAAAATGGCCTGTGCTAAAACCCTGGTCTGGTGCCTAAGTTTCAGGGCAAGTCAATCTTACGAGGGCCTGAAAATGGCCCTCCGTTTCAGGCTGAAAACACTCAGAACCTGGAGGGCCCTTTTTAGGCTGAAACGACACAGGGCCTGTAGGCCCTTGTTTTCAGGCTTTTAGGCTGAAACAACACAGGGCCTGCAGGCCCTTGTTTTCAGGCTTTTTAGCTGAGAACGCTGGTCGGGCCCTGCAGGCCCATGTGGCTGCGCAGTATGCCACACACCCCCCTCCTTGAAAGATCGAGCTTACCTGCTAGGGCGAAGCTGTCTGTCTGAGGGAGGGACCAATGTCCTGGTGGGAGGGGCAGGTCGTGAAGCTCCCTTCGCTAACTTTGTCATTCGTAGTGAGCGTAGATCAGCGGTGCAGATGCTTTCAAATCTGCTCCTGAAATCCATCGAGTGTCGTCGGGATTGCATGCTTTGAAGGTAACTTTGTAGCGGACCCACCAGGTGTGGGGCTCCGCTAGTGACAAAGATGGAGATGGAGGAAGAAGGGGGGAGCAAGATGGCACAACGCAGATCCCCACGCAAGACTCCAACGCACGTACTCCAAAATGTGCAAGTAAGGAATGCGACTGAAAACAGACAATGGCTGGGGTATACCCCAGCGGACTGACGGGACTGGACTGGACTRGCTGGTACCGACAGAGGTACCGGCCTGGACTGGCCTACCCCGAATATAACACAGGCCTGTGAGAACAGGCCAAGGGGCTGGTCTCACAGGCCAACCCGAGGTCCGCTACAAACTTTGTACTGTCGAGGCTTGCTGCCGTACTTGTGATCCGTTGTCGGGCGGCTGCCTACCAGCCGAATGCCGTTTTTTTTGCCAAAAAAAAAAAAAATTCGGGTGATTTTCCTTGACTCTGCAAGTTTTTAGTATGAGAGTGCTTGTGATTGTGGGGTAGGTGGAATTCTTGGATTTTTTTGGCTTGCATGCTAACCTCGAAATGAGCAGGGGAAGCAACTAGTACAAGGTCGCAAGCGAGGATGAGCACGGACGGAGGAACGGGGTTTTCAGAAGAACTATCAGGGCTATCGGCAAGAAATATCGACATTGGGACGAGGGAAAGAAAAGCTTAAGAAACGGGCTGAGAGGAGCGGTTCGACGGCGCAATGAAAACAATCCCGATCACAGGCCTTTGCACAAGAGGACCATGAATGTGGCCGATGGTCTGGGATAGTCAGTTACTACACAACAAGAGTTGCAGCTGGGTTAACGTACTCAACTAAGATAAAGCAAGGGATCAGCGTCGGCACGATCGGCTCACTGCAAGCAGGCGTTTGGGGGTACCTGCTGGAACAAGTTGTGTCCAATTGGCAAATAAGTGATTGAGAGTCGGTTTAGCATCGCCTCCAAGGAGCGGGTGGTCGATCGCAAAATTTTGTTCTCAGAACCCCGTGAAGGGGCTGCACCAGCTAGCTGAGCTAGCCATCGGCCCGAGGCAGTCATCATAAGGATGCAGGGGGAGATGCTAATGCAGGACGCGTGGTGATGGGGTGAAAAGCGCAAGGCGGGTGAATTATGAAAGGCGGCATCTCTGATCGTCGAGGTTCGAATATGGTATCTGGAAGGGGCAAAAAGGGAAAACGAAGCAATCAAACTATGAGAGGTGAGACAAACGGTTGGTGAAAAATCGAGGCGGTTGAAGAGAAACGGTCAAGGTCGGTTCTTGATAACTGATCACGGGGAGCGGAGGCGGATCGGTGGCGCCGGGGTCGGAAAATGGACCAGATAGCTATGGACGAGATAAGGAAGGTACGGATTCGTTGGGCGAAGCAAGGATTCACTGGATTTGAAGGTCGCGCCAGATATACCCACTAAGCGGCGGGGAAGGATGGAGGAAGATGAACAGACAAACTACACTAGGTGCGTGAATCGGATGAGGTGAGGAAAGGCGGGCGAACTAGCACGGATAAGTACGTACTGGGACAAGGTGTTGCACCAGGGGCGCGCACCAAGAAAACTACCAAAAACGAGGTAAGATGAGCGGAGGGTCGGAGCGCAAAAAGGAGGGGGTGGTCGCGAGGAAGCAGAAGCGACATGAGAACCTTCAATCTGGAAGCGAGGGGAGGCGCGCGAAGACTGGCTACAGAAAAAAAGGAGCTGGATCGTGGAAGAAAGTGTGCGGACAGATTCAAAAGTAGGCGGGAAACGAAAATTTGGGAAAATGTCAGCGGGAAATTGAGAGCAGCGGGAGGAGTAAGGCGATTGGAGAAATGAGAGGAAAGAAGGATCAACCGAGTAAGTAGGATGGGAAAGAGCAGAGTATAAAAAGGGAGGAGGGAGATACGAGACGGGGAGCGCACGGGTCAGGGGGTGGATCATCGGCGCACGCTCACGTACTAGCAAGGGGCATGCGCATGACTGAGTGGTGAGAGGAAGCGACCGAAGGAGTAGGCGGCCAGGCGCACTGCGCGAAGGGCTTGAAGGTGGCTTGCGAGAGGCGACCGTGGGAGAGGAGAGCGAACGATACCATCGGCGGAGCTGTATCTCGTGTAGTTCAAAGGCAGGCAAGTAAGGGGGCGTCTGAGGGGAGCTTGACGGAGAAAGGGTAGGGAGACGACCGTGCGACGCGACTGACTGAGAGTCAGCACCGGACGACGCCCAGAATGAGAGAGACCAAAAGAGAGAGGAGATAGAAGAGAGAAGGAGAGAAAAAGAGAGAGAACGAGAGAGGGGGGGAGAGAGAAAAAAAAAAGGTAGGGAGCCAACCATGCGAAGCGACTGGCTAAGAGTCAGCGCCAGACGACGCCCGTGAGTCCTGGGGGTCACGCAACTTCGGGACAAGAGAGGTCTTCCGGAAGTGGTAGACGATGTGTCGGATCGCACTCAGACTGTGTCCGTGCTTTGCGAAACTCGTGGGCCACCTTGGTAACATACGCAAGGATGTCCCCAACCGCGACTTTGTCATCCGTCAACGAAATTGGTAGTGCATAAGTACGTGTAAAGATGAGCGCATAATGCTCCGCATTGCAATCCCGGCAAGCAGCCCGTGGTCGGGAGAGGAAGCCATGCGAAATCCTCGGGCGTAAACGGGTCCAAGACCTCTATGTTGAACTCACGCGCCGAATCCCGTGAAGAACCACTTGAAGACGATAAGTTGCCGTTGTCGGACGGAGAAGATGCCGCACACACGTCTTGCCCTTGAGCATGAGTACCCAACGTAGGAATGAGTTGGGCAGCATAGTCCTCAATAGAACAAAAAAGAGGAGGACTATTGACTTCCACATGTGCCTCGGAACGAAGGGCGGTCACCCGCGAAGTGACCAGTTCCGAAGGCGTCGAGAGTGTCGTTGACTTACTCCCGGTGGTGCTCAGTTTCCCAATTTGCCTTTGCCTTTCGACGGGCAGCCCATTGTCTCGTGGAGATCGTTGTTACACCACAGGCAATAACGGAATCTCGTGCGTGCCTTGTATGCTTGCTCGGAGAGACCGTAGTGGGACCATGGGGCTGGAGCTATTGCGCCGGGCCCAGGGCTAGATGCGGTGTTTGTCTTCGTCTTGCCGCGTCCTCGGCCTTTGCTGGGGCGGCCACTATCCCGGGCGGCTGCGAGTCTGTCCCCTTCATTGGCAGACACGGCCTCGCTAGTTTGGTCGATTGGCTTTGTCGCCGTGAACACGATCACTTTGGGCCGATGGTGATCTCTGCTCGGGTCTGTCGCAGACGAACGGTGGAGGTTCTTAGCCTCCTTGTTCATGACAATAATTTGCGCGGCCTTGTCGAAGAGCTCCGCCAGTGTCGTCAGGGTGTCCTCAACGTGAGTCAAGGCATTGCCCAACGTCGGACACGACCTCGAGATGAAGTAGTGTTTGATGGCTTTGAAGCCCATTTGGATGTCTGGGACGGGTGTCAAGCGTTGGTACTCGGCAATCCAGTCAACACTCGACAGCGTGCCTTCTTCAAAGACCATCAGCTTGTCCATTGCCTTGATCTTCGACGGGTCTACTTGGAACCGCTTATGCCACACGGCCTTTAGATCATCCCAGTTGATCTTGGTGTGCAAGTCGGCAGCCACCACTCCGTACTTGGACAAGAGATTGTCCAACCATGCTTGGCACGCGCCCCCCCACCGGGAGTATAAGTACTCGTGGTGCTTGTGTTCGTCGACGTGGTGGAGCTGCAACTTGAGCTCGAACTTGCGGAACCATGGAATCGGGTTCGTCTTCGTCGAGTCGCAGAAGATCTCCCGATCATCGAACCTTGGAGTCGTCTCGCGCGGTTCCGAGCTCGAGTGGGTAGCGGCAGTATAGATCCGCTGCTCCAACTGTTGCGTTGCGGTTTGCTGTAACTGCACGCCATCCTTGAGGGATCCGACGTCAATCTCTATTGCCTCGAGGCAATCGGAGGTGTTGGAAGAGTTGGCAATGGGGGCGGCGACGGATTGTTCCAGCTGCTGGAGGCGGCTGGTGAGTTGGTCAAACACCTGATTGTGTGTCTGAACCGCATCGTCGAGGTTGTGAATGTCCTCTTGCTGTGCAATGCACGTGGCCAGGAGGTCGGTGAGATGGGAGAGGAGTAGAGCGATCTTGTTTCCACTCTCTTCCAGCTTCCCATTCTCGGCCTCGGCCCGCCAGTCCGTTGCCATTGTGAGCAAAGCTCGCTCTCCGCTGAATATCTTCTCGCGTCGTTGAAGTCGTTCTTCATTGGCAGCCTTTGCTGCTGCCTCGTCTTGTTGGTGCTGCCGCTCAATTGCCAACCGGCGTGCCTTGTCAACATCCTCTGCCTTCTTCTTTGTTGCGGCTGCTACTACATCCGACCGTTGCTTGGCTTCAGTAATCGAAAGCAACATCCAGCCCTGATAGGCCCCGTCCGTTTCCCCAGACTCTTGGTTCATGACGGTTGTTTGCGAGCGCAAGAGCATAGACCAGGTCGGGGGCCTCCTGACGTGGTACTCCCTGCTACTGACATGGCACTGCTGTCGGCTGACGTGGCCTGCTGATATGGTCTGCTGACATGGCCTGCTGACATGGTCTGCTGACATGGCCTGCTGACGTGGCAACTCACCAATGTCGCCGCAGGGTACCCGGAGACAGATAGAGAAGGTAAGATCAGAGAGGGCAACAACATAGGGTGGGGAGGGGTGGGTGGGATTAATTGCCCAGATAAGGAGTCACTAATCAAAAAGAGAAAAGTTTGAACTTTGCAAAAAAATTCGAGCAAAAGAAAAAAATACTCATTTGCAAGTTCAGTAGGCCTCTCAATCCCCCTGAAGTGCAAAATTACCCTGAGGAAAATTTTCGAACGTTCAGACTGCAAAGGATTGTCCGATAAGAATTCCGAAAAATAAAATACAGCAAATATTTGCAATTACTCAGATGAGAGTACGCGCAGTTGGAGAATGATAACTGCAAGAGGGATTTCCCGTACCGTTTAAAGAAAAAAAACGAATTTCAGAAAAAAAATATTTCGGATTTCTAAATAACGGGAAATTGCAAAAGGAAATCGAAATTTTCAAAAAACGATATTCCCGATTTTCCAACAACGAAATTTTGAATTTTCAGAAGGAAAACGAAAACGGAAATTTCAGATGTTGCGCTATTGTGATTTTCCACAACAGAAATATCGAGAAATCAAAATCCAAGAAAAGCAAAAAAAATTGATTTTCGGCAGTGAGGTCAAAATCGTGATTTTGGGGGCTAACTAGTGTGCTCTAATCAATCAATCAAGACTAATTAGCTACCTAGTCCCGCACACGTGTCAGATCAGGTTATCCTGATTCACGTGCGGTGTTCCGATACCAACTGTTACATGCCCAGTTGGGCGATGTACATATAAAACCGAGGATCCGCAGTGTGATAAAAAGGACTGAATGGACAATGCAGTGTTAGTGAAATCTCAACAGGCAGTGTACATCCTGATACATACAAAAATGGTGTTTTATAGCGCAGTGGAAGATTTAGGTACAAGTCCTGACCTCACCAGGACCGACTTCTCACACGTAGTACAAGACAGCGTAGCGAAATACTAGAATACCAATGACTGATCCAATCAATGTTGCAATGCAGATCAAACATACATCCTCCTTATCACAAGGTGTGAAGGAGCTTGGCGCTATACACAGGAAGAATGCGCCAGGTCCAGATCATGCACAGACGAAGAGGAGGGAGTCAGACGAAGAAGAGGGGGGTTGAGATGGGAATGTCGTCACACCAAGTCTTCGTTACAAGTCCCAAATAATCCCTTGTCAAATGTCCGAAACCCAATGTTGAGTCTGGACCAAATGTCTCCAATCCCGTTCTCTCCATAGTCTGCTGATGCAGTGAAGTCAGGTAGCGAGAGGGTGAGAAGAAGATGGTGGACTTAGAAGAGGAAGAAGAAGAACTATCTCTCTCTCTCTCTCTCTCTCTCTCTCTCTCTCTCTCTCTCTCTCTCTCTCTC